GTTCTCTGTATCTGCTTCTATTAAGTCACTGCATGAAGCCTCTCTCATGACAACTTGGCTAGGCAGATTTATGAATATAACAAAGTACAATTAGGAATCCTTTCATGTTTGGTTCTGTCTTAGGTCTCTGGACTATCCCGCCTCTGGTTTCTGGCCCACCAGACAGTGTCAGGCATGGGCCAGAAACCAGAGGCCCATGGCATGGGTCTCAAGTTGGACCAGCCATTGGTTGGCCAGTCCCACAAGTTCTGAGCCACCTTTGACCCAGCACATCTTGCAGGCAGGAAAAATTGTAGGTTGAAGGTTCTACGACTGGGTAGGTGTCCCAATCCCTCCACTGGAAGTCTTGCCTGGTTACATAAGATGTCCAGTTCAGGCTCCATATCTCCCATGACTAGAAGTCTTCACTAGGGTCACCCTTATAGTTTCCTGGAGGTTTCCATTGCACTAGGTTTCTGCCTTGCCTCTCAGTTCCAGGTCTCTCCTATTCATTCATTCATACATATTCTCTCTCTCTCTCTCTCTCTCTCTCTCTCTCTCTCTCTCTCTCTCTGTCTCTCTCTCTCTCTCTCTCCCCACCCCCCTTGCTGGGGACAGCATACCAATACAAGGAGCTGCCTGGCTTCTGAGACAGCTCTAACCTGGCCTGCTGCTGGCAGTCCCTGACCTGATCCTTCCTGTTCCTATCCTCACCTGCTCCCAGGCCACCCACACAATCTATTGTGTTTCCTTTCCAGGGAGAACCTTGCCTTTTATTCAAATCCTTTATGTAATCCAATCCACTTAAATATGACCGGGGCTAGAGATTTAATTTAGCCAGGAGACTATAGTAAACTACACAAGAGCCTTCCAACCTAAACCTAAGCAGATTTGAGCCTCAAGGGAAAAACCACTTGGCAATAGAGCCCATCAGTGGAAGTTCCTAATACCAGCTAACTAAAGGCTAAAGAAAGAAGACTGCAAAATCAAGGTGTTCCTAGAATACAGGGCAACCTCAAGTTGAGCCTAAAATACTTGCCAGGATCTTACCTAAAATAGTGGAGGGTCAGAGAAATAGTTCAGCTAAGAGCACGTGCTGTTCTTACAGAGAATCTGGATTCAGTTCTCAGCGCTTACAAGGCAGTTCACAACCGTCTATAACTAAATTCAGGAATCTGATACCCTCTTCTGGCCTTTGTGGCATGGGGCATGCCTAGAGTATACATCCATACATGGAGGCAATCACTCACATAAAAAATAAAGATCATTTGAAAAGTGGGGAGGAAGGGGGGAGGGAGGGAACCAGGTGGAAGAAGAGAAAAGACTAGTTTTTAAGCTGAGGCTAGACTCCAGCCAGCTCTCTATCTGAGTGCAAGCACATTAGAAAGCACCAGAAAAGCCAACAGAACCAGAGTTAGACCAGAGTGCAGACTATATGTAATAAAATGAATTTTTTTCTGTCACAAATATAGAGTTTATATGTAGAATTTGTATTCTAAAGATTAAGAAAATGAAAATTGTTTGGTTTTAGTGCTGGGTATTGAGCATAGGAGCCAACTCTAAATCCAGCCAAAATGGCAAGAAAAATTAACACAAACCTTGAAAAATGGCTGTTGTTTAAATCTCATAAAGACCTATGCAAGAGCCAACACTTAATAAATTCTCCCTTTATAGATAAGACAGCCAATCCAATGGATTTTAAAGTATTTTGTCTAAATATACACAATGAAAACATGAAATTAAACAAACAAAATTTAAAATGTATGGGTCAGCCATGAACAGTGTACTCTTTCCCCCAGCGCATCATGAAGTCACTGTGTGTCTGTGTGAGCTGGGCACTGCTGCTTAGGAATGCCATAGGAAGTCACTGTGTGTCTGTGTGAGCTGGGCACTGCTGCTTAGGAATGCCATAGGAAGTCACTGTGGTGCCTTCTGCCTGACTTCTGGAGAAACACCACCACGGTTTCTGTAAGATAATCAGCTGAGAGTACACTCCTGCTGATATGTAAATCTTGCTCTCTACTTTCCACCAGAAATCTATCACCAAACCCTCACCCAACACCCTTCCCAATAAAGCTTTTCTTGGGTCATCCTGTCCTCAGCATCACTCTATCTGTTCACATCCAATCAGAAGTAAATGCTATTCTATTGATTCTTTCTTCTGGCTTATTCAAATCTGCCCTTCCTCTTACACTTCCACAACAGAACCTTATCTCAAAATGTTCCCAGTAGCCTCCTAACTGGTTTCTCTGGCCTCTTATTTTCATGATGTCATTCCTTGGCTCTGAAGCTTTTTAACAACTGCCTGAAGGGAGGAATAAAGGTCAAAGCTATTAATCTAGCATCCGAGGTCTCTCAACAACTTGCCATCTTCCTAGAATTTTTAATTTGCTTTTCACATAGTCCAAGAAAGAATAGCCTTTATTATTATAGCTATTCTAACAAGGCTCTGATCCACGAATATTTCCTTTACTACTCCTTTGTGCGTATGGGCTGGGGGCTGGGAGATGGAAGCATTTTGCTTGCATGTGTGTCTGTGCACCATTTGCATTCCTGATACCCAAGGAGGTCATGAGTCAGATTCCTTGGAACCGGAGTTAGAGATATGAATTGCCAGGTGGGTGCTAGGAATCAAACCAGGGTCCCCTGGGAAGAGCAGACACTCTCTTAACTGCTCAGCTGCTTCTCTAGCCCCTACTCCAATGTTTAAATCCAACTCACTTGAAATTGGCTTTTAAACTCTATCTATTGTCATGTTTTCATTGGACTCTTCATTGTCTTCTCATTTTCATTCCTACAACATAAACTTAGAGAGATCACTACTATATATTACATTTCAGCCTTAACCTCGTTATTTCCTGACTCCACGACTAGACTGCAGATAGCTAGGGAGCTAGAACTATCATACATTTTTGTGGCATTCCCATGAGCAGGCATCAGTTCCCTGTTGAGTGCAAAATTACTCTAACATGATCTTTCCCGTTCTGCTTTCAAGACCCATCTGTGTACGCTAAAAGTGTAAAGGCATCTGTCCAGCAATCACTACAATTTGATTATGATGCACCTACAAAAAAAGACTTCATTTTCTCTCTGTTTTCCCATGCTCAATTAAGTATCTCTGGACAGTGTTGTTTAGTGTGTGGCTGCTAGAACTTCTTGTCCCAACTATTCATCTGCCTTTTTTTTTTTTTTTTTTTTTTTTTTGTCTCAGGAAAGTCTTACCCGCTGGGTGACTGACTAGATTTGAGTGGCTGATTCCAACTTAGGTGAACTGTTAGAAAACTGAGAGGTAGCTGTATTGTTAAAAGACCATGGCCCAGAAGCCCCTGGGCCAGAACCTGTCTGTACCTGCTGAATTAGTAAGGAGAACATTCTCAAGAGCCAGGATTGGGTCATCACTAGCAACTAAAATAAGGCAACACAGAAAACGACTTAAGTACGTTTTAAAATAAATCCATAAAACTGTAAAATGAGATTGATTTTTGGCCGGGCGGTGGTGGCTCACGCCTTTAATCCCAGCACTTGGGAAGCAGAGGCAGAGGCAGGTGGATTTCTGAGTTCGAGAGTTTGAGGCTAGCCTGGTCTACCGAGTGAGTTCCAGGACAGCCAGGGCTACACAGAGAAACCCTGTCTCGAAAAACAAAAACAAAAAGAGATTGATTTTTATTTAAACATTAAGATAAAAGTTGATTGGTTCCTTGATGTTTGAACACGTGACATGTACAGTGTATATCAAAGCTTAAACCAAAGCAAACTGGGGCCGCCATCTATTTTCACATTTACTCTTGAGATGCAAGACACTCTGCTGTTTTTAGCAAATATATCAATGGCTTGATGCTGAGGGCAGTAATCTTGCTGCTGAAGATGAACGGGATGGTCTTCCATCTGGTGTTATCAATTGCTTCAGCAGTGCTTGGACCACAGGAAAAGAATGACAACAGTTACCTTTTTGTTGTTTCCTGCTTTTGGAGACAAGGTCTCACTTCACGGCCCAGGTAGGCCTGGAACTTGGGATAATACTTCTGCCTCAGCTTCTCAAGGGTTGGAATTACAAGTAAAAGCCACTGTGCCTGCTTCCTGCAATTACCTTTACCTGGCTTTGTGTTTTATGTCAATTGTTTATTCTTTATTATTTTCTTTTTTTTTTTTGAGAAGATCAGGTGACAAGAAGAGAATGACCTAGCATATCTAACAATTGAACATAACCCATTATGGTTCAGTTAGCTATCTGAAGTAGTGTTTAATGAAGATGATATTGCATTCTTTAAGAGGTATTTTTAATATTTTTCATTAAAAAAGAATAATTCAGATAAGAAACAACTATAGATGACATAATCACAACTTTTTCCAAAACATTAAATGAGTGAAAAGATGATAAAATAATAACCCCAAATCAGGTACTTAATATAAAAATTAAAAATGAATGCTTCTGTATATATAGTTAGCTCTGTGTGGACATGCTGCATAACAAACTGAATCATTTACTCTCAGAGGCCCAAATGGTATGGTTATTATTAGTAACTAGTGAAGCCGATTGGAGAATGACTGTGCAGCGACTGGAGGGGAATTTCAAGGTGTGGGGATTATCTATCCAGTCAATAAACGCTTTGGAGATGGGGGAGAGGGCCTTAAGGCCAGACTGACTTCAAGCTAAGTTGAAGCCTGGGCTTCCTTAATAACCTGCAGATACATTGCTTTATGTCTGCCTATTATGTGGGAGGCCAGAAGCAATCTTTCAAGCTGAGCTTGGAAGGGTTACCACCTGATAAGACATTCATGAGGTGGTGATGTCATTCAGTTCCTCCCTCCCCTAAGTCTGGTTCCACCAGCTGATCAAGCCACCTCTCTTCCTTGGCCTTATTTTTCCTGTTGACAGCTGCCAAGCTTATACAAGCACCAGTGTTAGCTCCATCACACCATTGTCCAGACTCAAGTTAGGACACTGTTGATGCCTGATCAAGAGAGGTCTTTTGGACCAGGGATAAAGTTTACTGATGCAGTACTTACTTACCTAGGGTATGTGGGGCTCTAGGCTCAGTCCCAGTTCTGATAAGGAAAAAAAAAAAAAAAGGCTCAATTCATGGTTTAAAGCAAGTGGTTCTCTGATGTCATGGCATGTCATAAACATACACACACACACACACACACACCTATAAACATGTACATGATAAATTAAAAATATAAAACAATTTAAATACATATCTTTGAATAATATTAGATATGAAGGCTGATTTATTCATTATATAGTATTTACCTATAGCAAGTCCAAATTTTTCCAAGCAACTGAAGACGTCTTCAGATACTGGTAACTGAAAATTTAAAATTTCAGCTATTGCAATAATAATAGGTAATAGCCTATGCTACTGTACAGAGTACACATACACATGCCTTTGGTGGTGACCCATGAGAATCCGTAGGCAAGCCAATTCAGAGTCCTCTTATAGGAATGGCAAAACCAAGAACCACAAAAGAGCAATTAATAACAAGAGAACAAGGGTTTAGATTCTTCACCCATCCCCACACCCCCTCCCCACATCTACCCAGGATCTACCCAGGACTTACTTTCTTTCTTTGTTTTTTTTTTTGTTTTTTTTTTTTGTTTTTTTTGTTTTTGTTTTTCGAGACAGGGTTTCTCTTTATATCCCAGGCTGTCCTGGAATTCACTCTATAGACCAGGCTGGCCTCGAACTCAGAAATCCACCTGCCTCTGCCTCCCAAGTGCTGGGATTAAAGGCGTGTGCCACCACTGCCCGGCCACCCAGGACTTTCAAATTCTGTTTTTGTTGTAACTTTTTAAAAGTATCAGTCTTACTTACTTCCTCTTGTATGGGTTGGACAGGTTATTCCCTGCCCCAAGTTCTTTTGTTTTGTTTTGTTTTGTTTTGTTTTTGAGATGGGGCATCACTGCATGGCCTAGGCTAGCTCCTACACACAAGTGATCTTCCTGTCTCAGCCACCTAAGCAGATGGAACCATGGCCTCTTGTCACCATGCCCAGCTAGAATTCTGTAATTACCATCCATGATGGTATCAGTCAAGGCTCTTCCGTGAAACAGACTACAAAGTCAGGGAGGAATTCATCAAGATGTTAAATCAGTGTGACTAATTAACATTGAATCTGCCAAAAATAAAACTAGTTAATGATTTTCAAAGGAAAGACATCTAGGTTTTCAATCATCTACTTGCCTTGCAAGTCTTCAAAACATACAACCCTCCCCACTGCCACCTCATTGAAAATAGACTTTTTTCATACAATATAAAATTTTCTTTTTCTAATTAAATATATCTTATACCTTTCAGCAAAGAACAAAGTTTTGTATCTAGTTTTTTTTTTTTCAGTTTAAAACTTATTATTATTGCCAGGCATGGTGTGGTACACCTCTTCAATCCTAGCATTTGAGAGGTAAAGGCAAGAAGATTTCTGTAAGTTGGAAGGTAGCCTGGTCTACATAGTGAGTTCCAGGACAGCCATTGCTGCATAGTGAGACCCTGTCTCAAACAAACAACAGCAGCAGCAGCAACAACTACAATAATAATAGTTAATATTATTATTTCCTGTGTGGGAGGGGTGGTGGCTGAGTGCCATAGCACACATATGGAAATCAGAGGACACCTTTAAGTTGTCTGTTTTCTTCCTACTGCTGTGGAATTCAGCGGTCAGATTCAGGGTGTCAGTCCTTCATGCTAAGTGCTTTTACAAGCTGAGACAAGTTGCTGGGCCCTAATGTTTTCATAAGATTCTTATACAAAATCTTTCCCATCAGTTCTGCTGCTCCCACCCGCATGCAGAGTGATGGGATTACAGGAGTATGTCACCACACTTGGATGGAATTCAGGGTAAACTGAGCAAGCAGTCTAGCTACAACACCACGGTGGGCCCCTCTTTTAGAATAGAGAAGTCTTCCATGAAAGCCATTAAACAGTTCTACTTTTGTGGATTCAATGCTAACTAGCCAGATGCCAAATTATCATTATCTCTGATGCTGCACCCCTGATATCCCAATCCATATCAGGAAAGGGCCTTGACTGACACTGTCATAGACAGTAATTGCAGAATTTTTAGGTAGGCATAATGGCAGAGCCTGTAGTCTCTGCAGCTTAGGTGTCTAAGACAGGGAGATCACTTGTAAGCAGGAGCCAGCCTAGGCCACACACTGATGCCCCATCTCATAAACAAAACAAAATAATTTCGGGAGAGGTAACAACCAAAGAAAAAAGTGATTTTTAATAAGATGGAAGTAAATGTAGCTCTGGAACAGTCTATGTTGATTCTCCTGCAAAACTTTCCTCAGACACTCCATTCCCTGAAATATGTCACCTGGGTTCCAAGACTTTTTGTGTTTATGTTTAAAGACATGAGGAAGATAGAGACTGCCAGAAGTCTCCATCTGTTTGCCTAAAAGGACAAGCACAATCTGGCGAGAGATTCATCCTTGCTTGTGAATCTCCCTCTGAATTTTTGCCAAATTAGTAACTGTAACTGTCTCCAAAGCAAGCTACTGGCATAGAAGAGACCTGCAACCCTTTTATCAAAAGGCAGCAAGGGCCTTTGTGCAGAGTACAAACTTTTAGCTTCAGGCAGTCATTCCCCCCTTTCACCAGAGGCTTTGTTTTCATTGGCGAGACATTAAGAACGTCTCTCGTTGGTATCTTCCTTAAAAGGAAACCTCTACCAAGAAAGACCTCAATAGGATTGATTCCTGTACCAGTCCCATCAAGCTGCAGTTTGGGCATCAGTTGAGTAAAACAAGAACATTCTGTCCTTCTGTTATCGCACAACCAATTGAACTCAAAAAAACATCACTTCTAGCCGGGCGGTGGTGGCGCATGCCTTTAATCCCAGCACTTGGGAGGCAGAGACAGGCGGATTTCTGAGTTCGAGGCCAGCCTGGTCTACAGAGTGAGTTCCAGGACAGCCAGGACTATGCAGAGAAACCCTGTCTCGAAAAACCAAAGAAAAAAAAAAAAAAAAAAAAAATCACTTCTATCAGAAATTTCCATTCTTCTGAAAATGTCATTGGGGATGTGTTGCTTAATATTGTCAACCTGACAGGACTTAGAATCATGGACAGGACAAATCTCTGGGCATATCTATGAGAGAGTTTCTAGATTAAATGAGATGGGAAGCCAGGCGGTGGTGGCGCACACCTTTAATCCCAGCACTTGGGAGGCAGAGGCAGGTGGATTTCTGAGTTTGAGAGTTCGAGGCTAGCCTGGTCTACAGAGTGAGTTCCAGGACAGCCAGGGCTACACAGAGAAACTCTGTCTCAAAAACCCAAACCAAGCCAAACCAAAACAAAACAAAACAAAACAAACAAACAAACAAAAAAACAGAGATGGGAAAACCAAGCCTGAAGTTGACCTCATTATTCCATGACTGAAGTTTCAGATTAAATAAAAGGGGAAAATGAACAGGACACCAGATATCATCTCTCTGCTTCCAGAAGGCAGATGCAATGCAGCCATCTTGTGCTCCAGCATGCCTTCCCAACTATGGTGCACTGTACTCTTGAACTGTGAACAAGAATAAAACCTTCCTTGGGAGAGGGGAGTATTTTTTTTTCACAGCAACCTAATACAGGAGACAAAGTTCCTGCTAAATGGGAGAAAGAAAGGAAGGAAACATAAAGGTAATCCGAATACCCTGAAGGCTTGCTTATCCTTCTAAAAATAGACAAACACAGACTGTGCTTCTCTGCTATGATTCTTGTAGAATCTAAACTATCCTGAAACTCCTTGGGAAAGTTTAATTACACTAAATTGACCAGAAACAATAGTTGTATTCATAAGATCTGCCCAATCTTCAGCGTGCAACTATTCTTCAAATGAAAAAAAAAGGGAGAAAGAAAGAGAGAGAGAGAGGGAGGAAGGAAGGAAGGAAGGAAGGAAGGAAGGAAGGAAGTTTGTGGGAAAGAATAAGCAGTTTGTGATTGGGTCAGTTTAGACCCACCAGGAACCAGATGCTAGTTAAATGAGCAAGATACACAGGAGGGAAGAATGGCTACAAAGGATGAAGAGGAGAAAGAAGCCATATGGAATGTACCTGTGACACAGCTGTAGAGAGAAGGAAAGGAGGATAGACACTGAGATTGTGGACTACAGCACAGCTCTAAGAGGATGATCTCAGGCTGGTGCAAGTTCCAAGGTAATGACTGTCTATTGAGTGCTCCATGATGATCCACAGTGGCTTGGCTCTAGTAACTTGTTGGATGTAACCATTGGAGATGGAGGAGAAGGTCCCGAGGGTTCATAGTGGAGTCGGTTTCTAAGGGAAACACAGTCATTTCACTAGGGCCCTCTCCATGGGACCCATCTGGAACCAAGCAGTCCGTAAGAATTTACTTGCAGGGCTTTACCATCATACATCATACATGCATGCATGCATTTTAGTATGTAGTTCTTCCTGAGGTTCCTGTGCCCATCTCTCTCTCCTGGATTGAAAACTTAAAAGAGAGAAGTTAATGACACAAACCACATTTATTGTTTCTGTGGTTGGTCTTGAAACCACAACTCTTTGTTCTCTTCCTCCTTTCACCATGTTCAGTACCATCAGCTCTGCAGGAAGTGTTAATGACCCAGCCTGATGGTACAACTCAAGTCTCCATTCCTAAGAATCCCAGCATCTTGCCATCGGACCTAAAGGCTATTAAATGAACCCATTCAGTTATAACTGGACAAGGGAGTGCCCAGAGGCACCCAAGTAAGTTAACTGGTTACATGAATTTGCTTTGCCTGGTTTCTGTTTGTACACTAATAAGCCTCGTTCTTTCTTGGGGCCATTGATCCCAACAACTATGATCACAATTTTCCTTGCTTACCTGTACTCAGATACAAGAGTCTCTAACACATTATTATGGTATCCGTAAATTATAGTTTAATAGTACCTTGCTCTTAAAACATGATGGTAGAAAGCAAAAGACTCCTAGTAGGTCACAGAGAATGTAATAGAGCCACTCTTGGTTATACACCTTTGTCTTTAGGTATATAATTATTCCCAGTAGTCACAAAAGTCTCTTATTTAATAAACATAGTACACACTAAAGGCTAGCATCCCATCTCTGCAGTATACTGCTTGCAAGTTGGTACTGTAGTTCATTCTTCACTCTGTCATCTAAGAGTATAGATTCTTTGTCTACATGTATGTCTATGCACCATTTGTGTGCTTTGTACCCATAGAAGCCAGAAGTAATCGAATCTCCTGGAATTGGAGTTAACAGGCTGTTGTGAGCCTCCATGTGGGTCCATGTGCTGGGAATTGAACTAGGGTCCTCTAGAAGAGCAGTTTGGTGCTCTTAACCCCCAAGCCATCTCTCCAGCCCTACTAGCTAATTCTTTTTTATTGTTGTTGTTTGCTTTGCTGTAGTTTGAGACACAGTCTCACTCTGTAATCCAGGCTAGCCTAGAGCTCACATCAATCCTCTTTTCTTAGCCTTCTGGGTGCTGGGATTACAGACAACACACACAGCTGATTTAGTTTCTTTCTCTTACATTTAAAAGCAAAATGCAAGTCTGACAATGAAGCAAAAATCAGTGCCCACATGAAAGAAGCCTATTAGAGATAAATGAATATAAAGACAGAACACATAAATCAGACACATTTAAGCTACTAGATACTACTGAGAGGCCAAACCTACTCCATCTTGGGACTGGCCTCCATTTTAAAAGAAAAAGAGCCTGAGAACTTAACATACAGCTGAACCCAAATTGCACCCATGTTCCAGAAGGAATACATAGTTTGTCTTTGACCTATACCTCAGAGTTACTCCCTAGCTATTCCCTAGCAACAGCCAGTCAAGATTAGTCTGATGATTCCAGAAGTACTTTCAGACCATTTGTGATTGTTCATGGTTTTGCTTCATAGCACTCACCTGTTGGCTTAAAGGACAACATTTGTCACAATAATCATTCAATTAGATGCTTGCCAAGCTGGAACCCCACTCACTTGTTTGCTGTTTGCTGCTTGCTATGAAACTATGTCCTGCTGTGGGCTGGGGGCTTCACCCTCCTGTCCTGCTGTATCAGGGTCAGAGGTGGGTCCAAGCTATAGCTTTAATAAAAAGACCCTAGTAAGATGGCATCAGATTGCCTCCTTGGAGTTCACAGATATTTTGAGTGGTCATAACACCACTTCTGTTGAGTTACTGCATAATTGCAGGACTCATAAATTCCTAGTACTGTGTGAGCTGGTATAATTTATCTTAGGTTGACCCAGTGTCTCATATGCAAAACACAACAAAGGAAAACATAAATGTTTATCATTGTCCATTTGAAACATAGAAATAACCATAAAAGTGCCAATTTGCTATTGTTTGGTCCTATCCTGGGCTTCTTAGCTCTCCTGTAACACACTGATTTCAGTGAAGTCCTGTATCTCAAGAAAGCCTTCTTACCTCCTGGTTGTGGTTTGAGAAGTGTCTCCTATAGGCTCATAAACTTGAACAATTTTTTTCTTTTTTTTTTCTTTTTAGACCAGGCTGGCCTCGAATTCAGAAATCCACCTGCCTCTGCCTCCCAAGTGCTGGGATTAAAGGCGAAACTTGAACTTTTGATCCCCAGTTGGTGATGCTGTTTGGAAGGCTATGGGATGTCACTAGGGATGTGCTTTGAGGGTTTATAGTCTCACCTCACTTCAACTCTCATTTTTTGCTTTCTGTATACAGTTGAAAAATGTGACTGGTCAACTTCCTGCTCCTGCTGCCATCCTGCTGCCATGCCTCCCCATCACTATGAGTTCTTTTTCTAGAACCATAAGCCAAAATAAGTTCTTTCTCCCATAAGTTGTTTTTGGTCATGGGGTTTTATCACAGCAACAGAAATAATTAAAACACCCTATGATGGTTTGAATAAGAATGGTTCTCGTAGGCTCGTGTTTTTGAGTGCTTAGTCATCAGGATATAGCACTATTTGAAAAGATTAGGAGGTGTGGCCTTTTTAGAGGAAGTGTGTCACTGATGGTGAGCTTTGGGGTTCTAAAAGCTCAAGCCGAGTCCAGTGTCTCTGTCTTCCTGCTGCCTGCGGGTCTGGATATAAAACTCTCAGTGATTTCTCCAGCACCATGTCTCCCTGTGTGTTGCCATGCTGCCCACCATGACAATGGACTAAGCCTCTGAAACTGTAAGCAGACCTACATTAAATGCTTTCTTTTATAAGAGTTGCCTTAGTCATGGTGTCTCCAACCAGCAATAGAACACTGATTAAGACACACACTCTGTACTTTCTTCTCTTCCCCCTTCCTCCTTTCCATTCTTTTTCCTTTTTTATTTCAGTTTTTCTTTTTTATTGAAATAGAGTTGCTACAGATTGAAACCAGGGACTTGCATGAGTGAGGCAAGCACCCAGAGACTGATCCTTACATCCAGCCCTGATATACTCCTCAACGTTAAAAACCCAGGAATATATGCTGTAAGCTGCCTTCAGTCTTCTAATTTTATCAACCTGGAACCTCTAGCTTCTAGCATCTAAAAATTAACACCTAAACAATGGGAAGAGGAGGAAGGTAGCAGATGGCTGTATCCCAACGACCATTCTCCCCTTCACTCTGTCTCACCTGTCCACTTCTTCCACTGGTCATGATAGTGGACATTCCCTCCTGTGGATCTCCTCTCCAGTGATGGTCCTTTACATTTACCAAGCTCCATTCCTGGAAAGGGAGGGGGAAAGAGCAAAGCACAGTATACTGTGTTACAGTCTGGGCCTTAGTTTGGGACTATGGTTGGAAAACAAGTAACAGGTTCCCTGTATCAGCCAGTGGTCCTAAAAGCCCATCCAGGTCACCAGAGAGCTGTGGCTGACACTCAAGCTGAGCAGTGTGATCTCCTGGCTGGCTCTACCTTTACAAGTGTCTCTAGACAGCAAACAACCTTAATGATACTATCTAGGCTAATGTCACTGTTACCTTGTCTTGCATCTATTTATTTGTGTGTTTGTATGTAGATGTGTGTGCATGCACGCATGTATATGCCCCAGTGCATGTGTGGAGGTCAGAGGACAACTTGCAGGGGTCAGTTCTCTTCTACAGTATGTGTTCTAGAGATTGAACTTAGATCATCTGGTTTGGTGGCAAGTACCATTATCTTTTCCATTGCTTTCCCAAGATTTCATTTCTTTCCTGTTAGGGTTTGAACCCAGGGCTTTGAGCATGCTAGCCAGTAGCTAAGTACAGCCCCAGTGCTATCATTTTTAGAGTCCTAAAAGTATTTCTGGGTGTTCAAGAAATAGAAAGCCACTGCTTTGAGTTTGTCTTGGGTTTTTATTTTCAGTATTTGTTTTTTTGAGGAAGAATCACACTGTATGATAATGATCATACTCACTATCCTCCTGCCTCAGCTTCTGAAGAAGACCTATCTCTTAGCCTTTTCACTACACTTTGAGAATGAGCAGTTGACCTGAGCACAGATATTATTAAATCCTTGACCCAAGGTTATCATTTTAGAGCTGTGTTACATTTAGAAGAATTTTAAAAATCCAATTGTAATATAGGCTTACACATGAGGCAAGAGAAAAATGATGCTAAGAAGAAAGTCAGGATACATCTGAGGTAATGGGTATGAGCTTCTCCAAAGCCACAGAATGTAAGACCTACCCAAGTTTGGGAATGGCCTCTTCAAGGAAGAGTCATCTCCACTAAACCATTTTGGATGTGGGAAGCACAAGACACCCTAAAAGAAAACAATTCCTTGATCCACACTCAAATGTGTTTATTAGAAGTCATAAGTATCCACTTACATAATGCAAATTAAACAGAAGTCTTCCAAAAATTTTTCAAAAATCAACTCAATTATTTTAACAGAATATTTAGAACCGGCCGGGCAGTGGTGGCGCACACCTTTAATCTCAGCACTTGGGAGGCAGAGGCAGGCGGATTTCTGAGTTCGAGGCCAGCCTGGTCTACAGAGTGAGTTCCAGGATAGCCTAGGCTATACAGAGAAACCCTGTCTCGAAAAACGAAAAAAAAAAAAAGAGAGAGAGAGAGAGAGAGAGAAAAGAAAAGAAAGACAACTAGGGAAAGTTGTTGAACGCTTTGAATATTTTTGTGTGTCAAGTAAAGAATGTTCTGTATAATACTATTTTTTTGTGAGAAAAATTATGTGCCCTTAATTAAAACAATACTTGTTTCAATCCATAGTTTGAAGATTAGCCTACAGTTCCCATGACAATCCAAACTGATTCAAATAAGATAAAAATATTTTTATGTTTTTAGTTTAATATTCAGATAAAGTCCTAGTCAAACTTTTTTCTATGATTTTTTTTTTCACTTCTGAGTAAATATCCATCTGAGGCTCTTACCCTACAGGTTTTTGTTGGTTTTTGTTTTTGTTTTTGTTTTCAGACAGGGCCACACTGTGACACCCAGGATGGTCTACTTGAGACCCTTCTCCCTTAGACTCCCGTGTGCTCGGATCACAGGTTCCCATTCCTGTGTCAGCTGTACACTCTTTGTGAGTATGTATATTCTACTTTTGATACGAGGATTTCTTGTTATCTGAAAGAAAAAAAAACCCTTTCATTCTTTCTTACAGAGTGCAATATGTACAATGTCAACTAAAATGACTATAGTGGCAGCATTTTCAAAGCTATGTTATGATTTGAATCCTAAATGTGCCCCCTACCACGGGCTCACAATTTCAATAGCTAGTCCCTGTCCTGTGTTAATATCTTGAAGCCTATAGTGCCTTTAGTAGGTTGGCCCTGACTGGAGACATTAGGTCACTAGGTTGGGCCTTTGAAAGTTATGCCTACCCCTGATTCTGGCCAACTTTGTCTTGTGAACTGTCACCTCAGGTTCCTGCTGCCACCAGTAGACTCACCTCTGACACCTTGCCTTCCCGACTAACATGTACTGTAATCATCTGGAACTGAGAGGCAAAATTTTTTTTCCCTTCAATTGTTTCCATAAGGGATTTTGGCTATGCCAAGCAAGAGTAATAGCCTACCAAACCAAATGAAATGATATAGTTTTCACAGGAGTAAAAGCTTTTTGTTTGAGGTTGGGTTTGTTTGTTTATTTGTTGCTTTGTTGTTGAAGTTTTTGTTGTTTTCTGTTTTGTTTTTGTTTGTTTGTCTCGCTATATATCCTGGGGTGCCATCAAATGTAGGCTGGGCTAGCTGTGAACCCTGAATCCTCTTGCCTCAGTTACCCATGTGCTAAGATTAAAGACATGTGTGGTCATGTCCAGTTCTGCCACACACTCATTTATCAGTAGTTATCAAATAACCTGCTCTATACAACACAGAGTGCTAAATTTTGTGGGAATCATCGAGATAACCAGTCTATAATAAATATATTATTATACATTCAAAGTTGCTACCATCACCAAGTACTAAGGTCACCTCCATCACTTCTGTCATCTGCAGCTCTCCCACCATCACAGACAGCATCACCATACATCAAACTATATCACCTTTGCCACTGCCCACTGTTGCCTCAACTACCATCCTCACTTCCTTCTCTATAACTATTATTCCGAACACTGTCACCAGTATAAATAGCAGCAGCCACATACAGCAACAATAAACAATATATTTATTATAAAAATAGCTATATAACATTTCAATATGCTAAGAAGAAATTTTTTAAACATGGAGTTTACTTATTTTAATTAATTTATTTTTGTTTTTATGTGCATTGGTGTTTTCCCTGCCTGCATGCATGTTGTGTGAGGGTGTTGGATCCTCTGGAACTGGCATTGAGACAGTCGTGAGCTGCAGTGTGGATGCTAGAAAGCAGCTAGTGCTCTTATTCATTGAGTCATCTCTCTAGGCCTTGCTAAGAGAAAAATCTTAAGTTGAACAGAATTGTAGAATTGACCCAATTATCTGATTTTTATCTGTCTCTAGATAGATAGATAGATAGATAGATAGATAGATAGATAGATAGACAGTGTCTTAGTTAAGGTTTTACCGCTGTGAACAGATACCATGACCAAGACAAGTCTTATAAAGGACAAAATTTAATTGGGGCTTGCTTATATGTTCAAAGGTTCAGTCCATATCTTTAAGGTGGGAGCAGAGCAGCATCCTTGCAGACACAGTACAGGCAGAGCTGAGAGTTCTACGTCCTCATTTGAGGACTGCTAGTGGAAGATTGACCTCCAGGCAGCTAGGGTGAGAGTCTTAAGCCCATGTCCATAGTGACTCACCTACTCCAACAAGGCCATACTTCCTAATAGTGCCACTCCCTGGGCCAAGCATATATAAACCACCACAGAAAGATAGACAGATACGTAAGAAATGAAGTTTTGAGAGGTGGCTGTGGCTGGACCATGATCAGTGGCCCAGGACAAGGACAGATCATAAGCAGAGCTCCATGTCCTAGTTGGTCACATGCCTATAATCCTAGCACTTGGAAGATTGGGAATTAAGTATTCTTCAGCTACATCAAGAGTTTTAGGCCAGCTTGGACAACCCAAAACCTATGCAACCTCTAACTATAAGGTTAGACCTATGTAAAAATGAAGCCAAACAAACAAACAAACAAACAAACAAAACATCCAAAAGAATTCTATACTTTTGATATATTCACTGCCCCAGAACCTTCCTAACCTTCAACAGAACTCTTCCTATAAGAAGATCCACTAGGCACTGTCAACTGAGGACAAAAGAATACCCACCACACCTATCAGGCAGGTAGAACTCTGAAGAAAAGGGAAAATGGCATGGAATGCCTATAATTCTGGTACTTGGAAAGTAGAGGTAGGAAGATCAGAAGTTTGAGGTTACCTTTGCTTCCAGAGGAAGGTGGAGGCCAGCCTGTGTTACATGAGAATTTGTCCAACAAACCAACAAGCAACATAAAGAAAAGAAGAAAGTGAAAAATGTCTCCCAAGCCCCCTTTGCCAGTTTAGTGTAGTACAGGTTATATAAAGGAAGAGGCCATGCGAGAGACTAGGATCATACACTTCCTGGGAATTCAACAAAGAGTCGTCCTGGAAAGAAAGTGGTATTTCTCCTTTGGACAATGCCTTTCCTCTATCCAACAATAATACACAGGACTCTGCACTTTTAGCCAAATAGTGCAAAGTACCTAGCAAATGTTCAACTCATGAATCATCAGAACAACCAAGAAAGGACAACTTTTGGAATGATGAAAACAAACAGGACTCATGATCATGGGTCTATGGAAACTCATTCTAAAGTCAGAAGAAATGACATGGAGCTAGCTAAAGCACACCTCTGGCAGGAACCCTTGAGCAGAAGACATTTCTGGGTTGAGTGCTGTCTAAGATACTCTGGACAGGGATATTCAAAGGCAGACTTGGGCCAGAGTAGCCCTTGATCACTCCTTCCAGCTGTGGGTTTTTAAAAGATGTTTAATTTTTTTTCAAGTTTTGTTGTTGTTTTATACAGAGTTTTGTTATGTAGCCCGGTAGAGCTCTCTGTAAAACACCTGCTTCTGTCTCGCCTTCTGAGTGCTGGAATTAAAGACATGTGTCACCAGACCCAGTCAATGTTTCCTCCAAAGCTGGTTCAAAGGTTTGCATGTGTACTACAGAAAATTTTATACCCTAGGATACCCCAAAAAATCGTTTCTTTGAAAACAAGTATTGACAAAAAAGTTAATTGACATCCAAAACATTTTATGTTCAATGATTGCAAAAGTTGCAACTTCCAGTTCCTTGTGCTTACAACTTTTAAATGTCA